TTTAATCATTGTTAATGTGAAATCATTTTTTTCTTGGACTTTGTAGCAGTTTATTATAGAGGTTTCAGATAATCATCAGTGTTCTTCATAAAAACAGTCAAGGAGTGAAGTAGTAGTATGTCTGTCTTGCTCAGATTGGCCTCTCGTGGAGCATTGAGTTGTTTTCCTGCAGCACTTGGGGTTGAATCCATGGGTGCTTTACCACTGAGCTACACCCCAACCCCTTTTTTATTTTGAGGCAGGGTCTCACTAAGTTGCTGCAGCTTGTGATCCTCTTGCCTTAGCCGGCTACATTGCTGAGATTACAGGCATGTGCCACTGCATCCAGATGTCATTGGGTTTTGTTAAATTGATTTGGATTTGTTTGGGTTTTTGGTTTTTTTCCCTCTCTTCTGAATATACCCCTACCAATGTAATCATTATCACAAAAAGAAATGGTGATCTACCTCTGGGATTTTTTTTCCCCCTTCTTCTTGCCAGAAAGAGAAATATAATTGAATACCTGGATTTCATTTGTAGTGATTCTGAAGAATCTTCCAATCATTTTTTATTTGTTTGTGTTTTTGTTTGATTTTGATCCAAGAGCTATTCTAATAGGAACCATGGAGGGGGGGGGAAATGTTTGATAAGTAATTCTGCAAGGCAAAGGCCTATCACACCCTCCTCTGACTCTCCCCTGAAGGTCTCCCCAAGAAAGGGACTCAGGTAAAATGCTCATGAGCTTCTTGTGCACAAGGGGTTATAAAAAGGTACTCACACCTGTCTCCTCTCAAAGGTAGAGATCATATTTTAGTCACCTATTTCCCTCACTTTTTTTTTTTGAACACCAAGTTGAATGGTCAGAAATATGAAATGGGTTTATGGCCACTTTAACTATCAGTCCATTTCAGCAGAATGTTTTCTAATAATATTTTTCTTAAAGCTTAATTACAATGATTCATGATGATGTCAGTTTTCAAAAACCCTCTGCAAGAGGGAAAGTGAAATAGCTGAGTCTCTGGACTGTTCAAAGGTAAAGGGAGGGGAAAACAGAGAGTTTTTGATAAGTTGAATGTGAGACTGAGAAAGATCCACACATTTTTCTTCTCATAATTGTTTGCTTAATCCACTCTTGGTATGAGAAAGCACACATTTCTAATGATTAACGTTCTGGATTGTGGGAAGTTGTGCCTGATAACAATATGAGACTTGTATTCCTTATGCTCTGGTCTATAATACCAATATAAATAGTTTCTCTGATAAATAACTATGTTTCTGAGATAAGTCCTTTCTTTTATTGCAGCTGATAACCCAGGATTATGTGAGGTAGTATTGCTAACTATTAGTGAGAGGTTTTGATATATAAGGGCATTTGTACCCAGTTGGTCCCCATCCTGGGTTCCCCAAATGCAACTCCAAATTGCTCATTACCAGTATTAGCATCCAGAGAATTGACTTAGAAGGAGTGGATTATTTTTTCCCCTCTTCCTCCTGGCTTCAATCATTTAAAATACGTTTTCTAAAGAAAAAATATCTTCAAAATTGCCAGCACTTCTTATGCAGGGAGAGGGAGCAAGCCAGCCATCATACTTACCTGTCCTTTTATTCATAGCACTGCATAAAAACCATGTCATCCAAAAGTCCTGCAAAGCTGCACACTCACCAATTTCAAGATAACATAAAATATCACATAATCAATTATGGAAAATAATGAAATGGAATGTTGGCGTGGAAAACCTCCTCAGAGAGTGTTCAAACAAGGAATCAATTGCTCAAGAGGGGTGTTGAAATTACAATCAGTCAAGAAGTCTTTACCAAGGGCCAGCCGTGGGTGTGAATCTGCAGGGCACGTGTGCGAAGGGTCAAAGTTAAGTTGCTGGTGTGTTCACAGCCATGCACGCATTATCATGCCACAAACACCAAGGGAGGCGCTTACTTATATGGTGGGCTTGGATATACAGGGAAAAGGTGGAAATGATCCAGTCATTTTTTTTCTTAATTTAACAAGCATGTATTAAGTGCCCTCTTCTCTTGCCAAGCACTATGGAGGGCACTTTTTGATCTGCAGCTTCAGGGGAAGGCAGACAGATAAACAATTGCAGTACTTTGTGAAAACAGAGAAATCATAGGAGGCCCTCTCTTGGATACACAAGGAGAAATAAGGATATGAACAGCATAGCATATAAGACAAAAAAGTGAAGTGCTAATTATGGGAAGGAGATGAAGTCAATTTTCTCTATTCTGGCAATTTCCAAAGAGCAGAGCAACTGGGAAACAGGCAGATTGGCAGTGTATCCTCAACACTTTAAAAGGCTGGGAAGCTAAGTTCTTGTAATTTTTTTACATTTTTTGTGGCACTTTGTTACCAGTACTATTTCTGTCACATTATGTATGCAAGATAGAGGATGGGGTTGGAGACGTAAATGATGAGAGGGCTCCGAAAAAACAGGCTCCTCAATGTTCACTAAACTTTGCTTCTATTCTTCATGGCCCCCAGAGTCTCCTCTCTCTTTCATTTTTCTATCTACAGCACAGGATAATAAATTTTCTTTCTGTCCTTAACTGGAATCCCCTTTATGCATCCATAAATGGACATTGGAGTCTATATTCTCCACCCATCTGGAAATTCTGTGCAGCATTAACGTGTGGGTTATTGTTTCTGGAGAGATAATCTCAAAGTACAGTATTTTGTGCTTCCCTGAAAGAGCACTAAAGAAATAACCTAAGCTTCGTATCACAGGAAGAAAAAAAAATGAATGCAACCAAATTGCCATCATAGACTGATAACTTTCAAATAAGAGACTGATAGTGATGAGATTATAATAAAACTCAGAAGCCAAGTGCACTTCGTTTTGAACTCACCCTTTAGCATCTGAGAGACAATTCCAGGAATCTGCTCTGGGTGTGATGACATGTGTGTTGCTGGGACACTGGGCCAACAGTGTCCTGCTGGGGTCTAAGCTGCTGCTCAGAGCCTGACCTGGAACAATCCACAGTGCTCCAGAGATGTTCCTCTTAAAAAGGACATGAACTCCCATGGTCAGCTAAACTGCTCACCAGGGTTTGGGTGCCATCCTCCCCCAGAGGAAGAATCACACAAAGGCAGGGACTGTATTTACCTTGTTCACTGTTTTATCCAGAGCCTGGCACTTAGATTCACCCTAAGTGGCTCTCAAAAAAAAATAATAGTAATAGTAATCCACAGGGGTGGATGCATTTTGTGTATCACAGAACTGGATGATAGCTGCAATACATGCAATTGCCTTTTTTTTTCTTTCGATTCGGAACTATATGGTCTGTTAGCTCGGAGCCTTTGTTTGTTGGTTCTTCATTTGTGTATCACTGTAGATTTTCACCAAGGGCTCTCTGTTTATTATCTCATCTTCTCGTCACAAGAAGACCCACTTTATACATTTTTAACCAAGAAAATAAGGCTTGAGAATTATATGGTTTGGCCAAGCCCTCGTAGCTGGAATATGTAGAGCTGTGGCCTCAAATCCTTGTTTCTCCTCAAAGCCTCGGTGTTCTCCTGAATGTGTTCACCGTGTCCTGGTCCAATGGAAGCAGAGTTCACCACAAGGTCTGACCACTGCTAATGTATCAGTGGCAACTCTCTGGAGTCCCATTGGATGGCTACTTAAAATGAATCTGTTAAAGTGAATTCTATTAATTTGACTTAAAAAATTCTAGGACCTCTTGATGTGATTTGGAGACAGCGTATAATTTGAGCAGGAGAAAGAAAATTCTTCAGGCATGCCCCTTTGTCTTTCTTCGACCCCATTTTCCCACCTGAATATTGAATATAATGATATCAGTTCTAACTGGATAATGCAGAAAAACTCTTTTAAAAATTATGCAACATGTCAATGTCAGGCATTGGTGTTTTTTTCTTTGATTTTACTTTTTGGTTCTGGAGATTGAACCCAGAGGCACTTCACAACTGATCTACATCCCCAGCCCCTTTTTACTTTCTTTAATTTGAGGCAGGTTCTCCTTAAATAGCGTAGGGCCTCATTTAATTTTTGAGGTTGGCCTTTAACTTGTGATCCTCCTCCCTCAGCTATGAAGTTGCTGGGATGACAGAAATGAACCACCATGCCTGGCTTTTATAAATGCTAGGTCAATATCCCAACATGGGCACTGGATTTGGGTGGACAGCAAGGTTCTTGACTGGTATATATTACAACAGGAAGAGTGAACTGTTACAAATAGCCATGGAAATGGATCCATGGGCTCCCCATATTGAGACATATATGTGAACTCTACATGAGGCAGATGTGTATTTGTGACTGAAGATTATAGTTCCCTGGAGGGCAAGACATGAGTAAAATGCCCATTATAAGCCAGCATTTTTAATCTTCATGGTGATCCCGGTAAAGGAGAGAGTAGTTCTTGACCTATTTTTTTGGATAAGAAACAAGTTTAGAGAGTTGGTGGGGAAATCATCTAAATCATAACAGCAGATGCAGGTTAACGCCAAGAATAGGCGTGTGATGGTTCTGTCCAGGGTCTAGCACAATTAGGACTGTCAGTGAAAACCTGTGAAAAATAGTGGCAGTGTGCTCCTGTCTGCGGGAGTCCTGTGGACTGTCATCCTAATTTTTGTTTCTATAAATCCTCTCATTTTGGCAGCTTGCTAATGTTTATATGTGATTTCCAGCTCAGTTTAATGTGTCAACCTTTAGATCTGGCTATTTGGGGTCATCTCATGGGGTGTATGAGGACAGTCCCAGGCAACCGTGCCTCTCACAACCACTAGCTCTGTTCATGCCAGATGGACCAACCTAATGGAGTACCTCATTGATCACAAGTACTTGGAATGAGTATTTACGTTTCCCATCAAGTATTTGTCTAAACAAAAATAAGCATTTTCAGGAGGAGTGATGTAAATTCTGAGCATCAGTACCTTAGTGACGACTGGTGGAGATTTCTTTGCTTATAGTTGTTCTCTTATGTGAAAAATTTATGCGAAAACACAAAGGTAGTAAATAACTGCCCTCCCCCCTTTTTTTCTTTTACAGGTTGATGACCAAATGAAGCTGCTTCAGAATTGCTGGAGTGAGCTCTTAATCCTCGACCACATTTACCGACAAGTGGTACATGGAAAGGAAGGATCCATTTTCCTGGTTACTGGGCAACAAGTGAGTGTAGAGACCAAAAAATAAAATAAAAATAAAGCGCATCTTTTTATTAAGTATGTTCAGCATGGCAGGAATTTAACTAGATCAGAAGCACTCTTGTGCTTTGAAAGGGAGAGATTGGCTGCCAATAATTTAGAAAAGATGACTTGGTGCACTCAGTTCCTGCTCTGATGATTACAGATAAACTTGTAAAAGCAAACATAATCATAAGCATTCTGCTGCTTCTAGTCTGCAGGGATGGAAAGTTCTGCTTCCAAGGGTCAGAACAATTGCTCAATCAAACTCGGTGATTAGTACTGTTTTGTTTTGTTTTTTCCTCGAGCTTCTACATTAGCCTACTATACTTGTGTGTTATTTAAAAACCTTATACATTGTAGGATCCTTACCTTTGTTGGAAGAGGCTGATTCAAACGTCACATATAGTTGAAATATTTGACATAAAGGCCAGCATGGGAAAGGGACAGGAGTTCCAGCTTTCAGGAGCCAGATGTCCAAGAACAATAGAAAGGAAAACATAACCATCAGGCTTTTTACCCTTTTCTGAATAGCTATTTTTTCAAGCAAGAAGGAAATATTGAGCCCTGTGCAATGACACACTCCTGTAATCCCAGCTACTCAGGAGGCTGAGGCAGGAGAATTTAAGGGTCCAGACCCTGTCAAATAAATAAATAAATAGATAGATAGATAAATAAATAAATAAATAAGGGCTACTGGTGTCGCTCAATGGAAGAGCACTTGCCTAGTATATACAAGGCCCAGGTTCCATCCCCAGTATTGCAAATAAAATAAAAAGAAAGAATACTTATTGAACATCCTACTTAGTGCTAGTCACTATTTTGAGGCTTTGACCTGTTTCCTGTCCTTGTGGAATTTTATGCTATAGCAGGGAGAAGCTAATAATTAACGATAAATAATCACGATAAATCGGGAATGTTAGAGTTGAAAGTGTTATCAAAGTAAAGATCCCCTATCCCCACCAAAATAAATAAATAAATAAATAAATAAATAAATAAATAAATAAATAAAAGAAGAAGAAGAAGCCAGTAGGTAAGGTGGAATGAATAAGCATCCATGCCATGGGTTGTGATGCTAAACAGAACGATTGTTTCAGCCTTATTGAGAAGGTGACATTTGAGGGAACACTTAAAGGAAGAGAGAGGGGCTTGTAGATATCTGGGGAAAGAGAAACGGCCTTAGTGGACCTAATTCCAACTTGATAGGATATGGGCAAGTCCCTCCAGTGTCTTACCTTCCACTTAGAAACTGATGGATCAATAAAATAAGTCCACGGAACCCTGGTTCCTCCAGCCTGTAGATATACCTAGGCAGGACAGCAGCCCATCTTTCAGCCATGGTGACTTCAATACTCAGGCACCGTGATCTTTTACATCCCCATAAATGTTTATGTGCTGTGAAACCACAGCAGTGCATATCTGAAAATGAAAGGCTGTCTCCACACCATTTGCTGTATTATTAATAAATCACATGTTCCCAATCAAATTAAAGGCATCATGCACTACTTCAGTTTTTGCCAGTTGGATCAATTCAACCAGCTCCCTAGCTATTGGGTCCCCACTTTCTGTGCCTCCCAAGAGAAAAGCTTTCCAGAGAGGAAAATGCTCTGACTCCCTGTGCTTTTGGGTGTTTTTGTTTAGCACTTGTGTCTCGTGATCCAAGTCTTTGAAGGAAACGTACCCGTTTTCAGAGTCTAAACACAAGGTGTGCCTCCCACCTCCTGACCAACTGGGAGCTGCATTAGAAGGACAAGACTCGGCTCACAAAATGTAATTCGATTTCATTTCCTTCAGAGTTTCAAGAAATGAAATGGGTTTCATCCCTGCTCTTTAGAAATATTCCTTATTTCACATTTCATTCTGCCTTAAGTGCTGCCCCTGGTAAAGGTAATTACCATTTAAAAAGTAGAGAAAGTACATGTCTTGCCTTTCGGATTTTCAACACCCAGAAAAATCAAGGGATAAATAAAATCAGAGTCTATAGTCTGTAGTCTGTTATTTATGCCTTGTATGTGGCAATAGATCTGGAGGAAGGGTCTCCCTTAGCTAAAAAACAGTCTCCCTTGCACCTTTCCCTGCAGCCCACATTTTTCTGCTGCCCTGTTTGAAACATGTCAGAGTCTATCGAAGTTCTCCCCCTGTGCTTTTTCCTCCAGTCTAGGTGAATAGCCTAATGCTGCTTCATTATAATCACACAGTCTCGTTGATGGTTATTGGAAAAAAATATCTTCTCTTCTGTCATGGAATAGACTGGAAAAGGCATTTAGAACATGTCTGGGATTCCTTCAGTGATAGAGTAGAAAGCCACAGTGCTACCAAGGAAGACTTTTCTAGAGCACATACCTCATTTAACAGAATGAGAAGAAAGCCTCAATTTTTTCCCCCTTTTTTTTAGTGGTAAGGATGGAACCTAGGGCCTCATGCATGATAAACTTAAACTACCACTAAGCTACATCTTCAGTCCCGAGAAAGATATTTGAATTCAGAGTGACAAACACATATTTATTTTATATCCCCATAGTTCCTCCTATAATATCAAATATGGTAAGTACATGATAAATATTAACTAATTTCACTAAATGAGGACTATCCCATCTCTAACCTGAATGCTTAAATAAAACAAGTAGGACTCAAGACCCAGAGTATTCACCCTCCCCATTTCTACATTTCTAATTTCTCTTGTCCCCTGTCTTCCAACTAGTTCTCATGGATCAGAGACACCCACAATTCTTTCCCAACAATAAATCTCCTTTTCACTATGATAGACCACTTCCTACCCTTTGGCCCAGAGAGATAGGTGAAATTCCAAGTTTAATTTTCTTAAAATGGTATATATTTCCTAATGGCAAGAGAAGGGAAGCTAGATTTTTGTTAGAATAGCACCAATAACTGTAAAAATAAAATATCTTATGTGCACCAATTTTAAGAAGATGGTTTATACAATGATGGAAGGAAGGAAAGGAGTATAATAAGTGTCAGAGTAAAGTGATATTCTGGAGAGAAAAAAAAGTATTTCAAAAAACATGGAAGAAACTGAAGGAAGGAAATAGAGAACCACATACACCATTGAGTTTGTATACACTATAGTGTATATTTATTGCAGAGTGCTTTTGGGGTATTAAAAGTGTGGGGGCGGGCAGGGCTCGGGTTGTGGCTCAGAAGTAGAGTGCTCACCTAGCATGTGTGATTCACTGGATTCGATCCTCAGCACCACATAAAAACAAAATAAAGATATTGTATCCACCTATAACTAAAACATAAATATTTTTTAAATGTGTGCGTGCATTTGCATGCACACATGTGTGCAGAATACGCATATGCAGCCTGAGATGAAGGCAGAACAACTCGTGTTTATGTCTCCTGTCCAGAACTTACTAGCTCTGTCCTGTTGAGCAAACGCCTTTACTTATTCAAGCTTCATTGTTGTCTCTTGTCCAGTCAGGATTATAATGGTATCTCCATGAGAGAACTGCACTAGGAATCACCAGAAATAGTTCTGTAAAGTGCTGACATAAAAACTTTAAATTATCAAAACTAGTGTGAGGGTTGGGGGTGGGGCTCGGCAGTAGAGCCCCTACCCAGCATGCAGGGGCCCCTGAGTTTGATCCTCCCCCCACAAGCCTCCCGGAAAGAAGAAAACTAAAACACTAGGCAGACATGAGGCTGATATTTATGAACACAATAATTGCAAGAATAAAATATTATCATCCCCTTTTTTGCAGTTAAAGATTTGAGGCCAAGGGAGGTGAAGTAGTTGATTCAAGGTCAAAACACAAATCATAAGAGGGAGAATAGAGATTCAGATCCAGGCAGGCTAGTGCCACAGTTTTTGTATGGTTTGGGGTTGTTATTGTTTTCAAGGTGGCAATCTCACCATGTTGCCTTGGATGTCCCCAAACTCCCCAGATGAAGTCATCCTCCTGCCTCAGTCTCCCCAGTAGCTGTGACTACAGATGCACATCACTGTGCCTGGCTTAGAATTTGTATTCCTAACCAACACATCATCCTATATATATATATATTTTTTTTTCAATTCGTTGTTGATGGACCTTTATTTTATTCACTTATTTATATGTGATGCTAAGAATCAAACCCAGCACCTCACACATGCTAGGCAAGTGCTCTACTACTGAGCCACAACCCCAGCCCCCAGCCCACTTCTTTGGGTCATTCCCAGATGCTACAGAGCTTGCTTTCACCACGGGCGTTTAATTTGGTCTTTGTGAATAACTTTCATGCATAGCAGGCTTTATACGCCGAGAGTCATCAGTGGCACTTCCAAGCAAAACAAATTCATCTCCCTTTTATAGAAGCTAAATACACAAACATTTGTGTTCTTTATTTTGGAGGGTGGTGATTCAAACACATTGTAATATAGTAAATTTAAATTATCCAGAAGTAACTTTAATGTGATTACTACTTACTATGAAATTATTTCAGCATGAAGAAAAAAAAATTTTTTTTTCTTTTTTTGGTACTGGGGATTGAACCCAGGGACCCTTAACCACTGAACCACATGCCAGCCCTATTTTTTTTGTATTTTATCTAGAGACAGGCTCTCGCTGAGTTGCATAGGGCCTCACTAAGTGGTGGAGGCTGACTTTGAATACTGTATCCTCCTGCCTCAGCCTCCTGAACTGCTGGGATTATAGGTGTGTGCCACTATGCCAGGCAAAAATATTATTCCTAATGCCACTGCCCTAAAATCATCATTTTTGTTAGAGTTCTCATTCAGTGTTTGAAAACTGTATGTGTGTGTGTAATAAGAGCTTTCCTTACTTTCTAAAATGAATTAAAATAATCCACCATGGAGACACATTGACCTAGTAGCACATATTTGTGTGGAGTGTGAACTTTAAAATAATGTAGAAGTCTGTGCCCATGATGTATTGCATCAAGGCCATGACACTGATATCACTGCAGGAAGAGGGGGGGGGGTGCACAGAATGGCCTTATGCCCATAAAGCATGCAAAATTCCCCTACCAGCAACTTAGCTAACACCCATGTAACAGGTGAGGAAGGAATTTTTTAATTAAAAATATTTCTAGTAGTCTGATAGACAAAGGGAAGTCACATCTTTTGTGACTGGAGAAAAATTCAACACAGCCCTAGAGTCAAAAGTGATAAGAAATGTGATCCCTCTATCTAATTAATGACTACAGGGACTGCCCTTTGCCTAGGGCCTGGCACTGTGCACTTTCACAGGTAAGCCCCATGACATGGACTCAGATAAGGTGCATTGAATTTCAGAGGAGGAAGTACGCAGGGAACCAGCCAGCCATTCAAAGTTGTCCGGATGATTCAGCTTCTATAAGGAAGCGCCTTGCCCCTAACACCAGGCTGTGAGATTATACTGTCCCCACAAATAAAGGAGAGACAACGAATTGCTGGATAAAACTTTAACTAAACTCGTACAACCTTTTCCAGCCTCACCCAGGAGAGAGTACACCCAAATCACTCATTATCAATTTTTAGGTTTGCATATGGAATTTTTCTCCTTTTTTCTTTCAAGTTTTTTCCCAGTTTTCTTGTAATGATTACTTCTGGAACAATTGAAAATGTTTATTTTGAGTGTTTTAAGATTAGTAAATAGTAATATTATACACGCCTCAGTCCACGAGATCACAGCCAAAAGTCTTGCCACAAAGAAAATTCCAAACAGCAATTTCATGTCACCTTGAAGCTTGTATGTGATGTCTGTACATGGCTTTAGAGCAACACTCCTAGACAGACTGAGAGATGCAAGTCTCCAGGTGCTCCACAGCCCAATCTTTTGGCTTTTCCCTACTGAAAAAATAATGTGGGGAACCTACCACAGCAGAGGAGTGGAGGGGAATGGAGATGTACCTCCATGGTAGAGGGCTTGGCTAGCAGGAGTAAGGCCCTGAGTTTAATCCCCAGAATCCTGATGGGAAGGAAAGACAGAAGGACAGAAGGAGGGCAGCGAGGGATTCTCAGGAGGAACTGCAGCTTGGAACCTGAAGAAAGAGGCAAATTAGAAAAAGGAGCACAACTTTCCTCTTAAGCCTGGTGACTAGTGAGTTTTCTTGTCGATTGTTGGCAGAATCCAGGTCTCTTGTGTGTATTCAGAACTGGAGTAACTGAAATAGCACCTCAGAGAGGGTCCAGGACATAACACCTGGTGCTGAACTCAGTATTCGTGTTTCCCACTAAGTTTTTTACTTAACCTTAAAGTTTGCTACTATATTTTAATTGCATCTTTTAATCACGCATGTATTTAACTTTATTAGACAAAAAGGAAGCAATGATCGCCAGTAATAATTGGCACTGTCAAATCAACAACCAATACATAGCATTAGCATTTTATGAGATGAATTCCTTCCTATTCAGTATTTTTAAAACACACACGTAATCCGTATATATGTAACATAAAATAGAATCGTTCAACATGGGGTCAGATTTGAGTATTTGCATATTGTAACTAATTAACAGCCACTGTAACCTCATCCTAAGGGAAATGTCTACTGTTACTATCTTTGATTGTTGTGTATCATATTAAAATGACAGGCATCGTACAACATTCAAGTCATCACAATTTTGGAGGTTAGAACTAAAAGCAATTTCGCTAAAACTGTTTCTACCTTCATGATAAATGAAATTTTATTCAACAGGGGCATCGGTTTAGAGTATTTTTTCAATATCTCCCTTGAATTTAATGGCACAAAGATTACATGTAAGAGAGCAATAAATTAATTTTACTAAGTACATAAAAGACAAGGCCAGCTGCTCGTGAAATGAGCACAAACTCTGCATTCAACAATGAAAATATAATTATGTTTGTAATAAAATATAAGGAAGTTGCAGATCTCTGTGCCGTTTCGGGGATAAATCACCCATCCTCCTTCAGAACTGTGCAATTTGATAAATTATCCTTGAAAGAAGTGTTATTGGAGCCCTCATTTAATAAGTATGTTTGAGCTTTCAAATTAGCATGTAAATAAATGTAGGGCAATAAAGTTGTTGGTATGCCAATTGATTTCCTGAGGTCCCTCTCAGTAGAGGTCTCTCACTAAATATATAATCCCAAGAAACAATTTAGATTCCTTTCAGTTATAATATATTTTCAAGTATGAATTTCTAGTATTTGAATTTAATTATTACAGATCTGCTGGAACTGTACATGCGTCAAAAATCTCATCAATCCATCTTTTTCCCCCCCTATAGGGTCCCACCATGTTACCCATGCTGGCCTTGAATTTTGATACTCCCACCTCAGCCTCCCAAGTAACTGGGATTACAGGCATGTGCCACCAGGCCCAGAATTAATCACATCTCAATAAAAATTAATTCATATTACATATTTGTACTTTATTTAACATGGTCTTCCTGGTTTAGGGCTTAAATAATGATTTCTATTAAAATATACTCTGACCAGGCATATTGACACATGCCATAATCCCAGCTATGCTTGAGGCTGAGGGAGGAGGATCATAAATTGGAGGCCAGCCCGGGCAACATACCAAGACCTTCAAAGCAAAAAGGGCTGAGGATGTAGATGGTTAGTAGGACACCCTGGGTTCAATCCCTAGCATTGACGAAACAACACCACACACACACACACACACACACACACACACACACAGTACTTTGTATGTATTCTGCTACTGTCACAGAGCATTCAGTTAGTTCTTTGCCTAAATTGGTACTATTATTCCAACTATGATGATTTCTTACTAATCATAAAAGTGAGAGGCACCTTATCAGCATCTCTCTTAATGGCCTTGGTTGAAGATGAGGAGAGTAAGGGATGGAGATGTCGTCGGATTGGCCCAAGCCCTCTGTTTTCAGAGGGCAGCATTGACCCAGGTAGCGTCTTGTCTCAGGTTTCTTCTACCTCTCACCTCATGGCCTTCCACCTGCTGTTGATTCATCTAGCCCAGTTGTCTCTGTGGAAGTCCTATTACGGGTTAAGTGTCCTTTATCTGAAATGCTTGGAAACAGGAGTCATTTAGATTTCAGATTTTTTTTTTTTAAGATTTTGGTATATTTGCATATCCTTAATGAGATATCTTGGGGCTAGGACCCCATCTAAACAGGAAATTCATTGGTTTCATACATACATAGCCTGAAGGTTATTTTATACAGTATTTTTAGTGACTTTGTGGTTTGGCTGCAACTCATCACGTACACTTTCCACTAATGGCGTCACTTGGAATTCAAAGGGTTTCAGATTTTGGAGCATTTCAGACTTTAGATTTTTGGACGAGGGATACTCAGCCTATATTATTACCTAACCAAATAATTGTCAGGCATCATCACTTTGCACGCTAGGAAAATGTTCCCACTGTGGTCTATAGAGTTCGACAGCTTGTCCTGTCTTCCAGCCCTGGTACTGAACTTGTCTTTCCCACATTTGGAGTTCTTAGGACAGATGCCCGCCCACGGATGGATACAGCAGGAGGACAGTTTGGTTGATGCAGGAGATTCCACACTTTAACTGTGGCTTTTTCATGCATAGTTGACTATCTATAAACTGATTGACACCTTTGGGGGTCATCTTTCCACTGACTCATAATTTTTCTCACTCTTGAAAAAGGTTTCTGTACACCTAGTATTCTCTAGTTAAACCTGAAAATTCAACTCATCATATTTACACAATAAAAAAAAAATCCATTCTGCCTTGTTTTTAATTGCAAATTCTACTCAAGGGACTAGTTCTCCTGCTTAGGAGGCAGCCCCGTGCCTTCTCCTAGAGAAGCAAGTGCAGTCAATTATGGTAATGAAATGTCAATAAATATAAAAATTTAATACAGTCTGCTCTGGGTGAGTGGCAGATGAGGACTTGCCTCCCAGACAAATTTGCTGCTGCTGCAAATATTAAATGCACCTAAAAGAGTATTTGGTTGCCTGAGAGCTCTTCAGGAAAACAAGGACTGGAGCTGCAGGTACCAACTGGGCTTTCCCATTATGCTGTAAAGGAAGCAGCACAGCTAGTACTTCCACTGACAGCCATCCCGACATCTTAACTTATTATAAATGGAGCTTCGCATGTCCCCATGAATAATCTAAGATCGGTGCCTTGCCGTGCTTTTCTTTTTAACGAAACCAGGAATATGCTATTTCTGTTTTGTTCTTCCAGACGAGGGAATTATTCTTGCAAATAAGGTCACTGCTTTCTTTAGAGAGAGAGATGTATTCATTTGACGGCATCTAATGTGATCACCTGAAACTAGCAGGTTTATGTCATAGCTTTTAAGGAAGCAGCATGCTGGAATACTTTAAATGTGATTTTATTATTATTATTACTATCATTATTATTATTATTATTATTTTGTTATCCACAAGTATATAATCTTGAACTAGGATTATGTTCAAATGTGATCTCAAAATACAGAGAGAATGTGACTCAGCCTGTATTTTCTTCGTGTACTGGTCATTGTCATGGTGTACAGGTAGAATGCTGTATATGCAGTATATTTTTTTCTTTCAACTTGAGTTTAAATATTTTCTATGACAATATAACTTCCTAAGAGAAAGAAGGCATGTACACTTGTAAAATGCAGGCTGTCAAAACCTGTTTCCTACAAAGCTCATCAGCGCGATTAGATGTAACAGATTAATGGCGATTCATTTTATGATAATAGGCCGTGTCTCAAGCTACCTTCAAGGGGAAAGCCCTCTTTGGTATAAGTGTGTGTTGCAGTCTGATTTTTACCCACGATGCTTAACAATCTCAAGTGAAATGTGTGTTTCTGATCCTAACGTTCGTGAAAACTGTGTTGCAGGTGGACTATTCTATAATCGTGTCACAAGCCGGGGCCACCCTCAACAACCTCATGAGTCACGCACAGGAGCTAGTGGCAAAACTTCGCTCCCTACAGTTTGATCAGCGAGAGTTCGTGTGTCTGAAATTCTTGGTGCTCTTTAGTTTGGGTAAGCAATCCTTTTCTCATGCTAAACCACCAAATATGACTCAATGTTGCCCAAGGCCAAGTCAATATCTTTTTCTAACACTAAGATGATACCTTTCCATTCAAATCATGAAATCTTCCCACGTGAATATATATACATAGCCACAAAAATATATATTTCTACTTAATTCCTCCCCCTTTACTGAGAGGAGCAGAGATGCTAGTCAAAAGCCACAACAGAAGTCAAAGATGTGTGGTCTCAGATTTTTGCCATCTTCCTGCCGTTGAGCAATCCATGTGCCTTTCCTTTTGGCTCGGCTACCTATTGCTTCTTTTATTCTTCTAACATGTGGATAGTAATTAAAAGCCTGTTTTTTAAAATCTCTATCAGGATTAACGAGAGCATGTTTATAACCAGATGCTGCACTATGCAAGCATAAAGGATGACAGTTGTCAAGGGGAAAGATGCTTCTTTAGAAAGCTTTAGAGAAGAAAGATAACTAAGCAAGACAGATTAGCTAAATCAAGGTTCTCAGTGAGCCAGTTGAGAAAAATCACCACTGCTTGGAATAAAAAAAGGATTAAGGAGATGGATTTTTATTGACTTCAAAGGAACAGATTTTTCTGCCTGTCCCTTACTTGATTTCTGTATTTTGTTGGCTTAATAAAGCCAACTTAAATAAACTTTTTGCCAAGTCCATTTATTCTTCCCTGACAGACGGCTGAGGGAGGCAACTTCCCTCCAATAAAAAGAAAAAAAAAATGCCGAAATCAGATTTACCAACATGTGTTTTTTCTTTAGTCTTCAGTTATAAGATAGTTGTGAATTCATATCCCAAGAAATAGAACAATAAAACACACTTCGAAGTAAAACAGATGTGTCTGCTCTCCAAATTGGGCACTTTAGCCTTAAAATGCCTCTTGACAGCATCGCACAACTGTTGCTAATAAAGGAAGAGTTGGAAGTAGTGGAACCAGAGTTAATTTTTCACATGTAGTCTGCACTTAAACTACAAAGAGCATTTTCACATTTGGGAAAGTGCGATAAATATAGCGTATAGAAATGTTATTGAAAATTTAAAAAGACAACAGAATTTTATAGATGTCGTATTCAAAGGTTTATAATGCCCAGGCTGGACCCTGTGTGGTTTCTTTATTAACCACAATAAAGAGGAACATTCCAGTCAAGGAAGTTTGCGTCTGTCACCCCAGAGCAGTTTTTAGAGAGTCAGGAGGAGAGCATGAGTCTGCTTGCTGTCATCTCCCATGTTATTCAGTTTTATGACCAGATCTCAGTCTTGTCAACTAGTACATTTGATCAGTCATTAAACAGAAACTGGGGTAACACTTGAGTAAGAAATCTTATGGTGTCTCAGTGATAAAATATTTAGAAAGAGTCCTCTCACCTCCGTGGTATTTAAAATTAGTGGGGGAACTGCATTACATTTGATGATGTGCACATGAACCTTTTATTCTCACCCCATTTATCTTGCCTTAATCATTTTTCAAAATTATTATATTCTCTGTCTGTCAATAGGGAATGGGTCTAAATGGCTCTCAACCTGCGTCCCTTACAAATTATCTTCTTGAACCTCATCACATCCTCCTTCCTTGTTTGAGCATGCTGTTACACGGGGCAGGTGTAGGACACCAGGGAGGCACCACCTAAAGTGTGCTAAAACCCTAGTGATTTGTGTAAGGAAGACAGGATGGCATGGGTTTCAGGTCAAGGTAAATTGAGTTTGGGTCAAGAATTCATTTTTAAAGAAAGAGGAAAAGTGGAACTCATTGTAAAATACAGGTGGCTTTTAATTTATGAGTGGAAAACCTTTATTTCAACTTTATTGACTTATATAGATAATCAGCCTTTAGATTCCCAGGCCTGCCTCCAGACACCTATTCTACCTGTGATTGAGAATGAAATCATATAGGGTCACAGGTGAAAGCCCAGTCCAAGTCCAAGCCAGGTATCTGCTGACCCAGACCCTTATGAGTCTTGAGCCCCCTAAGCCTGAAGCCAGGTAAGTTCTGGTCCCAGCTCAACCTTGAGCTTCCTTCCTGCTGAAGAAAAATGAGGATTTGGGGGAATGATTAGAGGCCAGAGACATTGTAGAAAGAGGGCTACAGCAGTATTCTCATGTCAGAGATGAAATAGCCATTTCTTCGCCATTTCTTTATTGGTGCATTATAGTCGTACATAATGGTGGGATCCGTTATTACACATGATGTTGGCCAATATCACTCCCCAGTATTTTCCCTTTCCCTTCCCTCCCCCTCTCCCTGGTCCTTTTTCTCTACTGATCAACCTTTGATTTTCCTGAGATACCCCCCACCCACTTTTGGTTTTGTTTGTCCTTTCTAGCTTGCACTTATAAGGAGGAAAAACCTTGCTTGACTTTATAAGTTTGTGTGTTATACCACTTAATGTTCTCTCCCACCCATTTTTCTGCAAATGACATAATTTCGTCCTTCTTTATGGCTGAATAAAACAACGTTTTACATATATCAGATTTTGAAGCAGCCTTTTCCAGATTGATTTGGTGAGAGGCGGTAGGGTGTGATCCTGTGTAGGTGCAGTTCTAAGACCAAAAAAACGGTCAATTTGAAAACGTGAAGGCGAAAGAGAAGAACATGAGTTGGGCGAGCCAGGCATAGTGGGGCATGTCTGTAATGCCTGCTACTGGGGAGGCTAAGACAGGAGAATTGTAAAGCCAGGACTAAGCCTGCCTGGGCAACTTAGTCAGACCCTATCTCAAAATTTAAACAGGGTTGGGGATGCAGCTCAGTGGCAGAGCACTCACCTAGTGTGTGCAAGGCCTTGAGTTCAGTCCCCAGTGCTATAAAAAGATGAGTTGGGGGAACAATTAACAGATGAATATGGTATAAGGAAGGAGCAAATGCAGCTAGAGAGGTAAGCCAGAGGCTGGCACAGAAGAGGAGACTCCAGACACATTCAGCAAATTCCCATTGAGCCGTATCCATGTGCCGGACATTGAAGTAGCCACTGGGGTATAGTGTCAGCAAAAGTAGGTGTCATGGCTTTTATTCTGTAGGCAACTGGGAAGCAATGCAGAGCTGTTAAAACAGGGGTGAGGTGGGTAGTTTGGGTTGATTTGCTTTTCTTATAGCCATGTGCAAAGAGGTGGTTTTACCCCCTGGAGGTGGAAAGGAGATAACGAGTATAAACCAGTCATAAGTTGTCAGAGGTCATGACAGAGTTTAAATAAAGAGGTCTAGGGTGAGTCTTGAGTTTCTGGGTGTTTAGTCCCAAGAATCAGTAGCTGATCATAGCTGTAATACATTCTTAAATCTTTCTAAGTTACCGTATTTTGTTGCCAAACTATGAGATAATATATTTTGCACCCATTGATAACTTGGCAGAAAAGGAAATATTCTAAGTTGGCCAGTTAAAATTGATGACCCAAGAGAAGCCAAAATAAAAGTTTTAATGTTCATACTACCACCTTCTTCTCTAACAAGGAGTCAAAGTGAATGATGAAAGTAAATTGACTGACTGTCACCCATCAGTGTAGAAATAAATCCTACAGAGTAAGTATAGGCGTTCACGAGCCTTGGTATCATGGATGCATTTTAAATGAGTAGAAATCCTATGAAATATTACCTTCCCAAGACAAGGACAGAAATGGAAAGCGGTCACTTGGTTTTTACCTGTGGTATCCTGAACAATGTCATTACAAGTTGAAGCCCATCAGGAATATTAATATAGCTTGGGTCCTCAAAGCAATAAGTGCCCAGAATTGCCAACTAAGTTGTTACTCTAGCCTAGAGTGTCCCCTAGCCTGGAGATTCAGTGGCTGAACATTGTGACTTTTGTTGTATCCCAGGTGGCAAAAGAAAGAAATAGAAACGTATGATATCCTATTCCCCTTAGTGAGTATCCTTGGATTTGTTGGAAACTATTCTCTTTGCAATACTTTGTAAGCACTTTTTATGTTTAGCAGCATTACAGAGACTGTTATTCTCTTTGAGGGTATTTACCAAACTTCAAAACTGGGTAATATTTACTTCAAGTCTCTTTGCTACTAAAAGAGTCTGTTCTGCTTTGTAAATGTTTCTGTGCTCCAATGCTTTAGAGTGAGGTCCCACTGAGGTTAGAAATTGTCCTTCATGTTTTCCTTGTACACCAGGTTTCTAGAACGTTCCTTGGTACATAGAAGGACCTAAAAAATATTTACTGATATGGTGCATGAATAACTAGACTTATTTAAACTCAGAGCAAAGCCTTTACCAAAATATTTGTGATTGGTAATAGGAGATTAATTTAGTCGAAAAGTCACAGCTCAAGTGCAGGTTAGTTCTCTGACACAACTTTTTTTTCAGAGGGCTCTCTAAAAAATGTCTTCTCAAAATTAAATCATTTCTGCTTTTTCCAGGTTAGGAGAGCAGATGTTTATTCATAAGCTCTTTTTGGAAAGCTAACTTTAGAAAGAAAGAATGTTAATGACGAAAGGTAGCTCTGTATGGCATGCATTTCTGTGGCAAGCAAATGCAAGACCAGAGACTTTCAGCTCCTGCTAAGGAAAGGTGGTCAAGGCCCAGTGTACGATTTCTCCACGGCATTAACAAGATCCCTGTTTCCAGTAAACCTCATGGAGAAAATCGTATCTTTGTTCATCATGGTAGTCCTTTGCTTTATGCCAAATTTTGATAATCTGGTTGAGGCCTTTGATTGTACCATCACATGACCTCAGCGAATGTCCCACGGAAGACAGTTTGTGCTCATCTCAGAGAATCACTCTGAAGATCCCGGCAGAAAGGCTATCTGCTGTTGGATGCCCTTACCTGCCTGCTGCCTGAGCCCTTTCTCAGGAGAATCACTGGGTAGGCAAAGAGCACCAATCACTGAATATGCAACGTAAGCGCCGTCTGAGAGCTGTTTGCTTCCTCCCCAGGTCTGGTTTGGGCTAGTTTCAGACCACAACACCTCCATGTTGAAGGAGTTAGGCCCTATCTTAAATAGAAATGGCATCCGAGCTATTGCTATAGTGTCCCAGAATAAGC